TGCAGCGCTTATTTGGTATCAGATGTATGTATTTGTGGATGGGCTTTCTGATAATCAAGATGATGGCTTTCTAGGAAACACTTATCAGCAAAAGAGGAAAGACGTGGCGAATGCATCGTGGTGACATGAATTTCAAACATCTTACTTCAACTACCCGCTTAATTTTACGTAAACACGGTATATCGCTTCTTTTGCAGGTGAAACGGGAGAGTGGGCACATGTGTGTGTGCCACAGTGGAGAGATGTTAACTACCTCGCCTGGTAACACAGGAGGTCGTGGGTTCGAATCCAGACCCTGACGCCTAGATATGTGCTGCTCCCCGTGGTAGCGTGGATTTGCTCTGGGTCCTCTGGTTTTTCCTTCCACATTTAGAAACATGCATTTAATAGTATTTGGCTGCGATATATTTCCACATAAGACACCTTTGTTGAGCTATCATCTGTGGCAAGGTCGCGTCTGAAATAGAGCTATATAGCTCAGTGGGCCTCACCTGGTAAACTAAAAAATAGTTAAATTTTGTAGTGTGTGCATCCATGCAAACAAAAAGCCTGAGGCACATTTTCACCTAAACCTTCCTCTTAACATTCCTCAATATCTCCCTGTGGCCAGCCTGAGCAATGTTTCTTCGAATAGAAAAAAAATACCCTTCCTTTTCACAAAAGCAAAAAGCTCAAGCCATGGTTTCAGGGCTCCCATAGTACTATGAGGCCCATTTTAAAATAAAATAAATTGTTTTCCTTTCACAGATTTTTATTTGGTTAACTTCATGTTTTTTGCATGCAATGGCCCACCTCTAGAATATTTCCAGGTGATGAACTTATGGCAGGTGTTTTTTGACTTTCGTTTTCTTCTCGTCATTAAGAAGCAACAACTTTTGTACGATTGGCTGCATTCATATAATTTAACTTGAGAACTGTATCTGATTAAAAAAAAATGTTGTTTAACGTTCAATCGTTTTAGCTATAATTGAGAAGTCAGTTTTCATTGTTTTGAATTCTTTAAGAGAAAAAAAATCGTACTTTCGATAATACGCAAAATATTTATTTATCAAGCAATAGCTGAAACACCACAGGGAGATGTGCTCCGTTGCTGCAAATTGTTTTAAAAAATTAGACCAAAAAAATAGGACGTTTGCCAACATGTCAATGAAGTCGATTATTGATTCAATATGTTTTCAATACATAATTGTGTTCTTGTTTGTCAACATATTCTGCCTGTCTTCATCATCATCTCCAATCTATCAAATGCTGAATGAGGGCCTTCCGATGCCAATTCCATCTCTCACGGGCATACCGCACGCCCCATGAGCGCGGTTGGCTACGTACGGTGCGAAAGAAGTTCGACATAATAGTTACACATACAACAATCCATCTCGCTCCTGCACAGGAGCAGATTTCATCCTCTCTGCCACGTTTCCCCTTCTTTGGCTGCCATTCACACGCCAGTCTCATCTGCAGCGATGTGTCCTGCCGAAGCCTACTTGCCGACTCCTCTCTACTGTCAATGTGATGTGTCTAATTTTGTGTTGTGCTCTGTTGCACGTGTTGCTTGCACTATCACTCAGTGTAAACCCTCAGCATGCATCTCTGGACGATCTGTTGTGCACTTTCAGATTTTGGTTTTAATTTTCCCTTGTGAGAGTCCATGTTTGTGAGTCATTTGTCACAAAATCCAATGTGCACCGATTGAAAATGTTCTACACATTGGTAAGGTGCATTTCATTATTAGATTCAAATTTCCAAAAGTCCAAACTCTTTTTGACCTGCACTCACTTGTCTCTTTATTTTATGATTTTTATCCTGACCTGGCTTTAATATTCTGTTGTTGTCTGGAAATCTCCCCTCCACAAATGATTACATTTTGTCTCGTGAACATATTGCCCGCAACTTTTTGTTCAACTCATACTTAGTTTAAACCCAACTAATTTATAAATTATAACAAAATTTCCCCTGAGTTAATTGTAATCTCTTGGTAGAAAAACTACCATTAATACTTTAACCACCTCAAAATTACAAATGCAAATCAGAAGAGGAGTCAGTCAAGAAGACACAAATCTAACACCGAGGCCATTCACAGTATTATTTTGAAGATGTCTTTCCAAAAAAAAGATTGGAATAAATAACGGCAGAAGAAACGTAAATGGTGGGGGAAAAGATACTAATCATCTTCTTATGGCTGTCAGATTTCTTTTTTTAAACGATATAACCACGTGCTCTATTACGAGTCAGAAAAGAAAGGAGTGGTGTAATACATTAGGCCTGATTTCCCTTGGCTGATTAAGTCTCGGGAGGAGCCGTTACAGCGATGCCAGGGTTTATGTTTGGTAACAAAACAACAAGAATAGGAGTGCATATTGAGACGATTTTTTTGTCCGTTCTGGAAATATCTTGAGAAAAACTTTAAGCGTCAAATAATGTCGAAAAATGTGTTTCTGATATCCTTGCTTATAGGATGACAACGTTGACAATCGCTTTTAATAATTATAACGAGGGCAACGATACTGTCATTTATCACTGTTTTGGTTTACAGTGAGTATGTACAATTGCAACATAATGCAAAATGTAGTTATTGTTATTAACCATACATAGTCATCACATATTTAAAGTAGATTACGCATTTGTACCATAATACCAGAACCAGGACAAATAAGTCAGTATTCATATTTGGTAAATAAACATTATTATTTCCATGACAATTATTATCGCTACAGAAAATATTTTTTATCTTTTTCTCCTCCTGATGATGATCGCTTGTATTGCGATCGAAACGTCGTAGTTTTTTTGTTATTTTCTTTCAACCTATCTACGTGACTTTACCGAAAGACAAAAAGAATACTTTTGTATTATTTGGCAAAAAAATTTTCCATCTGAAAAATTACGCGCATTATTCAAAATATACACGTGCATTGCAATGCGTGACGATATTTTTTAAAATATATAACCATAGAATATATACATATCTTCCTTGGCTCTAGGAAAGAAATGCGCTGTTTGGTTAACTGGCAATATCTGCCATAAAGACGTGACCCCTTGTATCAGCCCTGATACAGAAGGCATCACCCCCCTCTCCTGGTGGAATTCTCTAAACTAATTGCGGCTCACCTAGGCCTGCGTGCGGTCCGTGCTATCGAGGTCACGCGAGTCCACGGAGGGAGCCGCAGCGATTTGACAACATCGCACGGACGCTGGCGTCGTCGCCCGTTCCTTCACAAGCACGGCGGCGGTGAATCATCAGGCGTGCAATTAAGGGAAATAAATTAAATCCAACCGATAGGCTCTTTGAGCTGCTGTAGCGTGAGGACCGTCTCAAAATCAACGCCGATTGAAAGCCGACGCGCAGAATTTTTGAAAACGGCAAGAGGTTCCCCACCACCCACCCCCCCCCCCCCTGATTTAACCACGAGGGCAATTATCTAAAATTCATGTTGCAGTCATTGTAGGGGGTCTGTAACTGCTGCAGGTATAAATCGAGAAATGCAGTCTCATTGTAATTAATCAATATCACTCCACTCTGCTTAAGTACGGGGAACAGTTTCATACCAATGGAGCTGAATGCCTGTTTTTAATTTTATATAGCGGAATATTGCTAAGGGCTTGAGAAAGGCAATAGTGGCAGCTTTTTTTCTCAGTCCTACAAAGGGCTGTGCGCAAATGCATTTCCCAATGCTCTGACCCCGCGGGGTCAATGCAGCTGCCTTTGATCGCGCGAGAAAAATGGATGCATCGTACCACCATCCTCACAATGTCGCCCGCATTCCTGAAATAGCAGCCCCTCTCTGCACCTAATGTTTGCATGTTTTGTGCAAACAGCACGAGGCTTTAGTCCATCGGCATCTGGACCATCTTTTGTGCGTCCGTATGTGAGCCGTGCGCATGCACGCGGCCAGGCAGCGGTGCTGGCCACCCACCCCCTCGTGTGCCGTGCCGGCCTTGATAGGTGCTCGCTAACAGCACTTGCCCCTAAAGTCCATTAAGGCATTAGGGGGGATAATTGTTTTTGTTGCATGCGCATACTGGTCGACTCAGTCGTCAATGAGAAACCTGGTGCGATGTGTAAACATCGCCATTAGAGAGACAAAGACGGCCGGGCGTGGTGCTGGTCATCACCCCCCTTGTGTGCCATGCCAGCCTTCATAGGTGCTCACTAACAGCACTTGCCCCCACGGTCTATTAAGACTATATGGGGGATCTTTGTCTTTGCATGCATACATGCACATCTCTGTGCGGACGTGCGTGTCTTGTGTGCACGTGCGTTCATGCTTATTTGAAGGCTGGGGGCTCCGCACAGTGGAATGAATGGTTTTCAGCCTTTGCTGCATTGGTTTGCACTCTTACACAATTAATTACTCGGCGCATTCACAGCCTCCACAGAGTGAAGCATTTCCTGGTGATTTCAACTTACTGTTGATTTAAGAAAACGAAAAAAAATCAGCACACACTGGAAATGCCCATCATCAGCATATCAGTCGTGTGAAGGTCAGAAGAGATACAAGATGCCACCGCCGGTAATTATAACATAAATGATGAATGGATGATGCAATATTCTGGCAGTTTGTCTATAGATTTGTTGGGTTTTACGAATGCATTAATGCAATAATTACAACAACGTATGCAACTTAACGGAACAAAAAAAAATCACATTAATGAGATCAGCCCATTCACTTACAATATAATTAGGGGAGAACTGTCCCTTTCAAATCACATTTGCTAATGCAAGTGGCACATTTTTCTCTTTCAGAGAGGAAAACATCGTCAATTAATGTGCAGCGAATGCCTTCCATTAATATAATCATTTCAAAGGCATCACTCTCCGCAGATAACGCGTTCGGTGGTGGGGCGAGGGGGGGGGCTGAGGATGTGGGGGCGGCACAGGGAGGGAGGGGGGGGGGGCGCCGGAGGGGGGGGGGGCAGGGGGTGGGGGGGGCCTTGTGGTGGATGGCACAGCAACCGAACAAATGTGACAGCGCTGTGTGCACTGCGGGGCCGCGATGCTACCTCACCTCTCTCGCCATCGATCAGTCGTGGCCGTCTGGTTTCCAGGGCGACGCCCAGGCGACAGTTGTCAGGCGGAGATGGAGTGATACGGACGTGACAATAATTGCTTGCCGGAGGGCAGCCAGTCCTGCCCAGCCTTGCATCGTGTGTCACGGGAGATCAGGAGCAAGGTGGGGGGGGGGGGGTATCGCTGAGAGCAAAAGATTCGTTTTGTGGAGAATGCATTTGTGGGGGGCATTTTAACGTTTTTAGAGTTTTATTTCTTTATTTTTATTCTTCCAGCATTTTTTTTTTTACACAGTTTGCCGCGTGCGTGCATCACAGGCAACCCAATTCGGAGGGAACGTGGAAGCCGGTGTATCACAAAAAAAGGCAAACAAATGCAACGAAAGTCATCAAAATTATTTGAATTGAATCTCCATTGGTGTGTGTCTCCCAATAACGCCCGCTCAGACTTGAATGGATGTCATAAATCCTCACATTTTATACTTGGCACCGTAAACAATTTTCGTGCAAAAAATATATATATATTCACACGCTCCATTTTTTATTCTTACATTTCGTACAAGTGGCCCGCAGTATACGTGCGATGACAAACGCGGCTAATTTCCGCCGAACTCCAATTAGCAGTGCGGGCCTAGGATCTGAGGAGCTGATGGGAGCCGTGCTGCTATGCTTCTTACATTTTCCCCCGGCTTTTATGGCGATCCGCATATTTCCTCAAGACAGCGGTTGTCCATCTCCTTACCGCCCTCCCCTCCTCTCTCCCTCCCTCGCTCTCCCGCGGAGGTGATGGTTGCAGCGGAAAAAGCCTCCGCCACCAGGCCTGTTAAAAGAGAAACAAGGGGGGGGTGGAGGTGGAGGGAGGCTCAAATCAAATGGGCAGGCCATTAAGGTAAATATTTGGCAACTTTATGGTCCACAGAGACCTTTGTAATGGGTCTCCCAGACAAAGCAATGGTCACATGCTGCTTGTCCAACCAGTCAAAACAAAGCAGCCTTATTAGAGCTCCCCCGCTGTGCTAAAGACTGGCTTTTAGAGGAACGCATGTTTAGCCTGATGTCTTTGTGCGACTCATTACGGATTCTTTACACATGCAATGCACGAAAGCGGTCCCGCAAAACCGCCGTATTGTTTATGTATTTGTGCGCCGATTAATTTAGTTATTTTTCCAAAGACAAAAAAAACGGAGGCCAATCGATGTCTATTAAACTAATTTAAAGTAATTTACTTAGACAAAAATATTTGCTGCATTTCATTATGGATGGAGGAAATAAAGGTTACCTTTGAAGTTCACAACATATAATCAAACAAGGATTATTGAAAACATGTAATATAAAATGCCTGATATTGATTTTTTTCCAAAATTGTAATAAGAGAGGCGGACACTCTAATTCCATGCTAGGAAACATCAATAAACATTAAAAAAAATGAGTTTCTGCAGCAAAAAAAGGAGGTTGGTATAATAGTGAATTGGTATTTAAAATACAACATGAACATTATGACCAAAAATATGCAAGAGTATTTGACAACGATATGAACCTAAAATCTTATTTCAATGTTTAAAGAACACTCGTGATTAATGACAATTTTAGGAATATGACAACCCTATTAGCTGGGTTTAGCTACTACGGTGCGATAGAAGTACAACATACATGCGTAACGGTACATCTTCCCTATCCGCAGAATTACTCGTATATTTTAAGAGTTGTAGCAATATTTCCTCTGCCTCAAGAAGGAATCCTAGGGAACGACAGCGGTATATTCTCTCCCCTTCGAAGACATTGCCTAAGAGAAGCAAAAGTTTGGGGGGCACAATTTTTTTTTCATCTGAATATAAACAGAAAACTTTTTTTTTAAACACACGAGCGTTAAAGTGCGTGCTATTCCATTACGCTCCTTTTACGAAAGCCCCGTGCATCAACCTTAACACACGGTGTTGAATTATGGTTGTTTGTGGGAACAGACAGCAAACGCATCTACTATTTTGACAAACACCTATGGATTTTTTTTGTAAGTGCGTGAAAGATTTCTTAGCTGACACCTTACTGATAAAACCTCATCACTGGATCTGAGATAAAAACAAAATAAAGTGGAAATGAACCGTGCAAACAGATGTTTTGAGTGCAGGATATTAAAGAATATATATTTTAAAACAAACGTAATTTGATCACCCAGTAAATTTCCGCCGCATCTCAAGACTCGTTTTCAGGAGGATTGTGCAGCAGGATGTTTGACTACATCTGATGACCAAGTGCTTGGCAGTGTGGGAGGAAGTTGGCATATTGGAGAAAACACATATTAATTTTTGAGATGTGCTCCAGATTTTTGGATTAATTAGTAAATAAATCTTAAAACTGTGCCGAGACATGACATTTCAGATGATGCGAATTTTGTTGTTCTTGTTGTTGGTGTGTCAGGATGAACCGAAAAACGGACAAGATGTCACTAATTCCTGCCAAAAGTGGCGTCTCATGGCATCAAGTGACGCAACTACTGTTAACACAAAGACAGTTTACATTACCGTAGTACATAAATAGATGTGAAAATCCAAAAGACTTAGAAATTGTCTCTTAATAACCAGAATATTAAATGTTTACATTTCAAACTCATTCCTGATATCATACTTTATTTGGAAAAAAAGGTTTTGCTTGTTGGATTCCTGCATGCCTGGCAGGATTCCTGGCGTGCCGCCAAGTGCGCGCGCACGTGGTGTGTCATCACCGGGCACATGTGCGTGATGACGTCACCCGCATCCCACAGCATTGAGCTCTGTTCGTGCACGCTGGTGGGGGGGGGGGGGCAGTGGATGGATCAGTGGATGGGTGGGTGCTTGGGTGGGTGGGTGGATCGGTGTGTCGGTGGATGGGTGGGTATGTGAGTGGATGGGTGGGTGGGTATGTGGGTGGATTGGTGGGTGTGTATGTGAGTGGATGGGTGGGTGGGTATGCGGGTGGATTGGTGGGTGGGTATGTGAGTGGATGGGTGGGTGGGTATGCGGGTGGGTGGGTATGCGGGTGGATTGGTGGGTGGGTATGTGGGTGGGTATGTGGGTGGATTGGTGGGTGGGTATGTGGGTGGATTGGTGGGTGGGTATGTGGGTGGATCAGTGGGTGGGTCTTTGGGTGGGTGACGTCAAAAGCATGCATGGGCTGCTAGTACAGTAACAGATTCAAGAATACACTTGTGGTAAAACCATACATCTCCTGGCCACTTTGCAGTCCAGAAATTCTGCATGATCTACCATCCCTTGCATCCAAAGCAATGGATATCCATGTGTGTGCCAGCACAGCCAGCTATTAAAGATATACACTGACAAAAATGAGTTCCACTATTTGTAAACAAAGCAAACGGCAGCAGTTAATGCATTGTGATGTTATAATATTATCACTGTAAGCTATGGCATTTCAAATGAAACCTAAGCAATATGTTGGTGGTGTTGATTTCTAAGCGACTTATTAAAACTTAAAGACTACCGTTCATCGATCAACATGTAAAATGCTGGTTAAATTCTCAGATCGCTAACAGCTTCAGCTTGAACAATTAACGAACTCAAACCCAAATATTCCTGTTTCAGATATTCATCGTCATTGGTTAATTTATCCATCTGCATTAGGCAGTGCAATAATAATTTCAATCAGATTATTTGTCAAGAAGCGTCGGCTCCACTGATGAGTTCGTTGGCCTGTGTGGAAGAAAACCAAAGCGTCCAGAAAAAAAACCTTCAAACACAAAAGAGTGACACTCAAGGCTCTGTACAGATTCACAAATGTATCGTTATACTGACATCTGGTCGACTTACAGCTAAAACCTACACAAAATCTGGTATTCCCAGGTGAATTCGCATCCAAGTACTAATCAGGCTCCAACCTGCTTGCCCAAAATTGAGTTTCCATCATGTCCCATTCACCTTGGAAGCAGCATGGTTCACAATCCAACCCAACGACTGCATATCTGTGAAACTACTGGACATCGGTAAATACAAGCTTATCGCTCGTAAAATTCCTCTAGTACAAATACATACTCTGATTCTGAATGCACTCAAAAACACGCCATAGATAACCTGGATATAGTCGATGGAATACCTGGCAGTGATACATCTGGGGCGGAGTTTGTTTTCGTCTTAAGGAGCAGTCACTGGTTGCCGATGTTTCTGGATCCTCCACTGTGCACCCTGATCTCTCTACGATGCTTAGGAGCGCGCATGCAAGCCAGTGTCTAATGCATCGTGTCTGCTCAAGAGAGGTGGCCCATATTGTTTGTCACCGCATTAAAATTGTTCCCACGTGGCCTCCGATATTGCTGACAAAACAAATGGCGAAAGAACAAGAACTCGAGAGAGAAGAATGAACCGGAAGGATGTTGCATGTATAGCTCTTCGGGGCCAATTAGGCGTGTAATATTATTCACTTTGACACGCGATGTGTTACACCGTCCAACTGGCCCGCAGATGTACTCTCGATTGTTAAAACGTTTGTTGCGTTTTTAAACACATTTGGTAAAAATGAAATCCATCGTCACAGCCATGACCATTACCCGCAGCTTGAGATAAATGCAAAAATACATGTCATTTAATTATATTCGTACTGCAGTATATTTATACACCTACTAAGACGACATGTTAAGAAGTGAATTGTGTGTATATATATAGCAAAGGGTGGTGGTGGGTTTAATGACCCATTTATATCTTTACGCGATTTAACTAAAAAAAAACCTGTATTATGGATGTTTACAAGCTTAACAATTTCACAAAAGGAACAAAAAAGGCCAACCCGTACAAAAACACCAAACGAATAATTCCACGAATATGTCTAAATAACGAGTTGTAATTAACACAAGTCAAACTGCACGTGAGACAGAACCAACGTATACGTTTCAGCACTATTTCCACAAGGAGTTTAAATAAGTCGTGTAGCGCGATGCCCCAGCTACCTGCTAATATCTGCATAAAACTGCCCTGGTACCACAATGTACAGTGGAGGTTCTGTTAAAGATTATGGTTATCATTTGCAAACGATGGCCAAATCGTGCCGCTTGCTTTTAGCCACGGCAACAAAAAAAATGCACATTTGTGAGAGAGAAAAAAAAACCTGCCTGCAAGTACATTCCAGAACATTTGAATAATAACAAACATTCTCAAGCAAATACATATTTTCCAGGTCTCTACTT